ATTTTTGCTGTGTTGTTGCATTAATGTTGGTTACTGTCCAGCCTGATGAGTCTCTCCCTGCTGCAGTCAGCTGCAGGTGCTTCCTGGTCCTGAGGTCACCTACAGCGACTTCCTGGACGCCATCGACCGCAGAGAGGACACGTTCTACGTGGTCTCGTTCAGACGGGTATGACACACACACACACGCACACACGCGCACACACACACACACACACACACACGCACACACACAGACAGCAGGCTCTCACAGCTGTGCGTGTTAAACGGCGTGTCTTCCTGCAGGATCACCTCCTGCTTCCGGCCATCAGCCACAACAAAACCAGCCGGCCCAAGATGTCCCTGGTGATGCCGGCCATGTCTGTAAACGGTGAGTGTGCACGCTGTGGCGCGACAGGCTGCAGTGCAGCTGTGAATCACTCGGCGAGCGCCGCCGTGCACAGCTGACTCGGTCACGGTGGCCCAGCGAGCGCCGCGCCCTCATGGTGAAGATAAAAGGCTGTCATTGGCTCAGCTGCTGTTCTTCTCCTTATTGATCGAGCTGTCCTGATGATGATGATGATGATGATGATGATGATGATGATGATGATGATGATGGTGGTGGTTACTGTTATTATCATTAACCAGCTGCTCTTCCTCCATCTCCCTCCTCTTCCTCAGAGAGCCTCTATAACTCATCTCAGGGCTACGAGATGATGATGCAGGTCGACTGCGAGGTCATGGACACTCGGATCGTCCCCATCAAGTCGTCCGCCGTTCCCCCCTCGCTCCGAGACCCACCCCCGCCTCCCCCCTCCTCCCACGGCAGCTCCAACCATCACCACAGCAACCACACCTCGCTCCGAGGACGCCACCAGCACCACCCCTCCTCTTCCTCTCCTTCTCAGAGGCAGCCTTTACCCGCCCGCCGACGGACAGATGAATACTTAATCAGCCAATCAGAAGGAGTCTGAAGGTCGGAGGTTAAGGGTTGGAGAAAGACTTGAAGTATAACCTCACTGTCCCTGCACCAGGTAACGGTTCCTCCTCCAGCAAACAGGAAGCTCCTCTCCGCACACGAGTCGAGCTTCCTGCCGTTTCCAAAAAGGTGAAAATTCAAGAAAACAAATTGAACGTGAGGACGTCCCACAAACGCCAGCATGTTTGTAAGAACGACAGCGGCGTGCATGCTGCGTTTTAATGTTTAACAGCGAGAACGCAGCATGGAGAAGCTGCTCCATCAAGCGCCCACAGCCACACATCTGTCACCTAAGCTCCGCCTTCTGTACCTCATAATTCAGACAGAGGACGAGCTGAGCTTCTTCTTTCACGTACAAACAGGAAGTCTGTTCTAATGCTCTGAAAGATCCGAGTAAACGTCAGAAATAAACTTTAAAGAATAAATTCAGCTCATTTACAGGATCAAGTGTAACGTTCATCCTTCAGAGACACCGAGCACAGCGCTGAGACGTTAACCGGCGCCAGCGTGTTTTTCACGTTTTAGTGAGTCGTAATTCTGAGATACAGAAGCCCAGAGGAGCTGCAGCCTCTCAGCTGTCAGTCCGGCAGCTGCTGCACGAAGCAGGAGCCGCAAAGATGTGACGGCGTGCGTACGGCGCGAGGTGTGGCATCTAAAATATCGCCAGCAAAAAGCCAAACCAATGAAATTCCACTGAGAGTGAAACAAAAGCAGCTCGTTTGGTACTTCTGGGTTTTCTGTGGTACAGCAGTGAAATCGTTTCTGCGTCGTGCGTCAGCCGTCGCCTTTATCAACGTTTTGTTTTTTATGCTTGTTTTGGAGCGGTTATTTAATAGTTGTAAATATGAGTGTAGATATTTTGTCACCTTTTTACTTTTTCTAATTTTTGTTTTTTCACAACAAAAAGTAAAAAAACAAAGAAAAATATTTTGTATTTGTCGGACGGTCCGGCGTGACTCTGTGCTGGTCGTCTGAACTCGGGATTATCTCCTGATCTAAAATATTTATGGATATATATGCAGATTTTTGATCTTTATTATTGTACAGAATTAACGTGTAGAAAACTTCATACAATTTGTTTTATTGTGAAAAATCTTGGCCTGTTCTGCTCACTTCCTGTCTTTTTTTTTTTTTTTTTTTTTTTTTTTTTTTTTGTAAGTTTAGACTCTAACAGAGCAGCTTTACATGATCCACAGTTCATAATAATCCTTCTTTATCTGATACGGGGCCAGTTTATCCTCTGTGTGGAAAAATAAAAAGCTGCTTTGGCCACTCCCCTTTAACCTTTCTTTTGAATTTTGGGTGGGGCTTCTGTGGCTGAGATGACCATATTAGGGATGCTTTCTTTGTGACATCATCCAGAGCCACAAGGAGAAAAAAACAGCTGAAATTTTCCATTTGAGCTCCTGGATCATAGGACGATTGTCCATTAGTGCACATATGCTTGTGTTTACCACGAGCACGGAGGGCGGGGCAAGAGACCTGGCGGATGAAAGCAACCCCCAAATGTACAGAATAGCTCCGCCCCGCTGAGCCGACGGTGTGATTTGTTTTTGAGTATGTACAAAATTTTCAATCGTTTAAAAAGTTTAAAGCGCCCAAGTTTCACCCATCAGGGTCACATTTGCTCAGCATTATGGGAAATGTAGTATCTGCAGCCTTTCTTACAGTGAACATGTGGGAAAACCTCCTGTGTTAATGTCGTTTCACTTCATGGTGTTTTCCTTTTATACTGATGTTACTCTTCATGTGTGCAGAGAGGAACGTGGAGGATATGAAGGTAAACTTTTCCTTTTAATGGTGGTTTGAGTTTTAAAACACTGATGGAGCAGAAAAACAAGATTTGTCAGCTGCTCGTTGGTTCTTTCACACAGTCGGCTCATGTTTCACTTCCTGGTTTCTGTAATCTGAAAACGCACTGAAAGCTGTTACTGAACCTTTGGGGTGCTTGTTGATCAGCTGACATTATGACATCATGCATTTAGATGAATCCTCAGGAAATGTTCTGGTTTGTGTCTGTTCATCACAAGAATGACGTTTGAATTCTAAATGTGGTTCAGACGTAGTTTTATTCAAAACTCCGACCTTTGACCCGCTTTAAGAGCCACCGTCTGCTCTGCAGCCTGTTCTTGTACAAACCAGATTGTGAGCTCGCTGAAGCTGCACATATGAAAATGTAAACTGTCCTTTTTTTATGTAAAGGGAATAAAATCATGAATGTGTAAATATTTCACAGGCTCCTGCTGATTGGTCGCTGCCTTCATGTTAGCAGGAAATGAATCAGAATCAGACGGCTGAAGGTTCAGAGCCGCGAGCTCCGAGGAAGCCGGAAGACTCACTGACCCCTCACTCACTGACCTTTCACATCACCGACTCAAAGAGGACTTTTATTTTTCTCACTGCTCACACTGGATTTTTTAAAAAAAATTAATTGTTCACATTTAATTTCATAAGTCAGGGAGAAAAGAAAGCAGGTTGAGGAACAGACAGGAGAAAAGTCTGTCCATCCAGCAGAGGGCGCCAGAGTGCTGCAGACTGACACTTCATGAAAGAAGAACACTGACGGAGGCTTTACCTGTGCAGGTGAGGAAGCTCAACCTGAAGAGACGACCTGCCTGTAGCAGACTGAGTCACAGCGCAGACACGGAGCAGTGAGGTGGCGCTCCCTCAGCTACTCACCGTGGAGAGGAGGCGGAGTCTGTCACAGAGCGAGAAGCTCAGTGAAGAGACGAGATGATCTTGTCGCTAACACACGGACGCGGGTCTGAGATCCAGCGTCACTCTTTGATTTACTTTTTATCCTTTTGAGGGCGGCTTCGCTCTTCCGGCGAGGGCCACATGCTCCACAGACGATTTTGTCCACGTGTGGCATGAATACACGTGTAGTGAAAGGCGGGGCCGCCTCACCTGCTTAGATTACAAAAACAACCAAACACTTAAAGTCACCTGTCATAGGAGACAAAGACTGCAGCAGCGTGGGGTCATCACTCAGTCACGTGACCTGCTGTGATGTTTAGTTTCGCCTCAGTTTCAGAGACCAAAACTCAAAATGTGTCAGTTTGATGGTCCGTTAATGTGAAAAACTACGGATGGAAGAATCTGAAGACATAAAGATAAAATATTTTTAAGCTTCCCTCTAAATTCAGATCTAATACCTGGGTCGTGTTTGTGGTTTACTGTACAGCTGCGTGTTTCCTCATGACGGTCCGTGGAATAGATGCTGAGCACTTCAGCGTGCTGATGCTTCAGGCTTATCTGGCACGCAGTCCCAGCGTGGATGTTTATTTGCTCGTTCAGTGAGACGCTGTGTTTATAATGGAAAATCGTCCACATGCAGTGTTCGCATATACGGCTCCCTGTTACAGGATAATCAGGACAAACTAATTCTTTATTCTTTAAGACGTTTCCTGACTGGCTGTAAACAGATAATGCTCGTAATTACCAGCCTGTTAAAAAACAAACAGCAATTAAAGGAGTAAAAGGAGAATTTACTGGCTCAGGGTGACGTCAGCAGCCGGCCGCCTGTTTGTTAGCAGTGTTTGTGTGGGAGACAGTTGTGTGACGCAGTAGTTGCACACAGCTGAAGGAGAAGCTGTTTTGGTGGAACTCTGCTGTGTGAGGTCGACTTTGGGCCGGCCGTCCAGACGGAAGTCTTCACAAAACATCATCCAATCCTGAGCCACGCTCGGTCAGTGGACGTGACCGAGCGTAAAAGCAAAGAATCGAGCACGTGGAAGCATCCAGCCGTGAACCAAACACCAGTCATGTTTATAACCACATTTTAAAGACGTTTCTGCAGGACTGAGGCTCAGTGAAAGCTGTTGGTGATGTCGCAGAGCTCTGTGTGCGCGCTGCTGTTAAACAGCTGTTTAGTTTTGTTTCTGACATTTGGGGCGGAGCTCTGTGAAGAGCCGAAGCTTTAGCACCACGTCCACAACGCAAATAAACAACTGTCAGAGCCGCGGGCACAAAGTACGACTCTTTATACCAGCACAGCTGCTTTCTTCTCCAAACGTCTGAGAGGGAAGCGCCTGCATACGCATCAGGTAGGCTGTGAACACACCTGCGGCCACACCTGTCAGGCAGCAGTTTACACCTCCAGCAGAGCGTCCCGGGCTGCCAGCTCTGGACTCGACCCTCAAACAGAAGCTTTTGTCTGTAACTGAGACGTGCTGGCGTGAACGTAGACCGGGAGGAGCAGCAGTCCTGACATGAAACAGGCTGCAAAAATCATTAAGGCTAAAAACACACTGAGACTGTGAAAGGTTTGAAGATGAGCCCCGACCTTCCTCCTCATTCAAAGTGCTGTTTGTAAAACTCTGTGCACCAGATTTCATTCAGTCTGATCCTTGTCTGCGCTCTGAGATCACGGGTCTACATCCCATCATAGCTGCCGGCCTCAGACGGAGCAGCTTAACAGTCGCTCGTATAAACCGCAGAGCACAGTTTGTCTCGTCCTGAGTGAAAGTCTTTTATAGAGCGAGGCCGGAGACGCCAGGACAGACGTGTTTTAGTGTCGGCGCGAGTGACGTCTTCGTCCATCTCCGAGGCTTCAGATGAAAAACTCATCAGGCTACCAGACGCAAGACGACAGTTCGGTGTCCCGAGTTTCCGAGTCCATCGCGAGTGTTTCCAGCGAGCAATAATATGAAGGTCAGCGAGAGGAACGAAGCGAGGAGGGAATGAAAACACACGGCAGTTTGTTTTATGAGGGACTCCTGCAAACCTCAAGGACGTGCACACGGCGTCACGAGACGACATCGACCCCGTGGTGCTGACGGCCCGAGGCCCGGCGTTCTGCCCGTCGCAGCAGGTGTCTCACCTGCCAGAGACGCCAAAGACGAGCCGAGCTCACGGTCTCTGGCTGCGATTTAAAGGAGGGGAGGAAAGAGAAGTGCAGTGGAAACAAGGCAGCGAGTGTCTGGCAGCTGACGCGTGTAAATCGGTGCTAATCTGGTCCTGCGGCTTTAAAGAGGAAAGTCGTATTTTCTCTTTGCCTGCCTCGCAGAACAAAATCATCAGAGTCCGTCTGCAGGAGGCTGAACGTAACTGCACAGTAATCCAGACCAGACCTGGAAGTGTGCAGAAGCATCAGCATCGACCAAACACCAACCAGTCCACATAAAACAATAAATAATGATTTAGGATACGTGGGAAGTCTTTTGATGCTTCCTGCATCGTGTCATGGTTCAGTCATCGTGTTTCTCTGAACCTCACAAAGTGTTTTGTTGCCTAAACCTTTATAGAACCACTAGGATCTCTGAGTGTTTCCCAGGTGGGCGTGGCTCTCCTCCCGTCGGGGGGCCGGGCACACCTGTGCTCCATCAGCTCACAATCAGAGCCAGTATTTAAGGAGCAGCTGCAGCAGCCTCTCCTCAGCAGACTGCCTGCTGCTTTCTGATGGTAGCGTTTGTGCGCCGTGTCGTTATCTCGATGTCTTGCCTCTCCTGTGCTGACCTTGTTGTCTGCAGGTTACCTTGGCCTGGGCTCAGAATCCACTATGTTACCTGTTTCGCTCACCTGGTCCCTCGTTGCCTTTTTCGTCCCTCGTCATGGCTCGTGTCTGAACCTGACCTTCAGTTCTGCACGAGCCTGCCCTCCTGGACTCCCTGGACTCTCAGACCCTGGACGGATTCACCCCGAGCATCCTTCCCCTTGACAGGACCAGTGCTCCCCGTTCCCCAGTAAGTTATCACGTGTCACTCCCACTAATACACCTGCTCAATTATCAGCTGACCCCGGTGGATCCACAGAGGTGCCTGTTCTCTCTCTGCGATCACCTGATGCTCCAAACATTTGTGTTGTAAAGCTTTGAGTCCAGGTGTTACTACGGCCGGCGTGGACCTCGGTGTTTGTAGCTGATGGTCACGCCGGCACGTGCGTGCATCCATGTGGGCAAACGCCATCGATGATTTCACAGCTTCTGTTTCCTGCCAGCAGCGACGACACTATGAAGTCATCCAGCTGTTGTTGTTTTCTGGGTAATCTGAAGCCTGGGCCGGCGCTGGAAACTCTGTCGTTGTTTTGATCGCTCGGTTTAATCAGTGTGGACGTAACTCGATCTAATTTTCACCCACAGTGGACGTAAATCCAGATGTGGTTTGGTTTTCTGATGATGATG